GGGGGGGGGGGGGGGGGGGAGGAGAAGGGGGGAAGGAGGTGGGATTCCTTCGACTGGATCCGCCAATGTACGAGACAAATTCGATTTTTCTTTTAGGAAGTTTTATCTCTTGTATCACTTTGCGTTTGGCTTGCTGCGTGACGTTCCATTCACCATCTTAAGTTGGCTAGGCTGCTTCTAATTTGTATTATCTTTGTCCTTTTCTGCCTATATTTTCATCCTGCGCTGACGGTTCTGATGAAATTTACTGAAAAAATAACGAGAAGTATGGTTTTATTCTGTCCATGTTTTAGTTCTGTTGAAGCATCTAAACGATGTAGCGGTGGAATGTCGTCTGATGGCGGTGGAGAAGCTGATGCTTTCAGCCAGCTACGAAATTAATCAAATGGTTTTTTTTTCTTTATGTTGCTGAAAATGTACTTGGCGTTTTACATTCTCAGTGAAGCCATGTTTCTTTGTTTCTGGAGTTAAAGGATTGAGAAGAGTTGGTTTATTGTTAGCAGAAAATTCATTTTTATACTTTTTATGCTGTGTAACAGCAGTACAAAACGCATATTGTCAGGGGGTTGTCTGTGTGTGTGTGTGTCCGCAGCAACTTGTCGCAACTTTCAACTCGGGAACCACAAAAGCTAGGAAGCTGGAAATTTAGTGGAACGTTCCCCACCCACGTGTGACCCCGCAAATTTAAATTCATCTTCCCCGTACCCGCGGGTAACACGTACGGCCCCGTGAAAATTTTTTACGAGTAAATTAATATCTCGGGGACCACTGAGTCTAGGAGGCTGGAATTTCAGGATAATGATCCCCTGTACACGCTCAACCTTGCCCATTCAAATCCAGCGTTCTCGCGCTCTCAAGTATCATCTTCGGCCTCGTGAAAATTTTGCGAGTAAACTATTGACTCGGGATAAAGATATTCACCCTTCAACGTTTCGAATTCAGCTTTCATGCGCTGGTGCGTGAAATTTCGAACTATTTTCCAATGTTTGAACTGTTTTTGCATAGGTTAAAGTACAAAACAGTGAAAATCAATAATAGGCAATCGTTCGATGTGCTGAATTGCACAAAACGCATGATCGCTAGTCTGGTGCGCGTTGTTATTTATTCAGTGTGAAGAAATGGATGAGAATCACCGTGCATTCTTTTTCTGTCGTCTTTTTTGCCTTACTTTATCTGTGTTAGTATATTGTTGGGTAGTCTACATTGAGATTTCAGCTGCTTAGGCTTCATGGGCTTAAAAAACTAAAATTTTCTGGTTTTGCAAAAAAATATCGCAGCCAGTTTGGTTCTAAACAGCCCCTGAGAAAGGGAACCGCCAGCAGTTGCGGCAGCGCTTGATTGCTGTCGACACGCAATACCACTTGGGCTATTTCTGAGTGCTTTAATCTTTCGGAGGGAACAAATTCTAAGGACTTTTTTTCTTTTATCTTTTAAAAATATGCGCTGCATCACCACTGGCCGAGAAAAAACGCTATTGCGTGCAGTACTGAAGAATTATAGAAGCCAGAATTTTTAGGTGGACGTGGCGGTATTTGATTCCGACGAGCAGGTGAGACGAGCGGCAGCATATCGACTAATCAAAGACGTTGATTTAAAAGCGTTATCCATCAAGCAACGCATGGATCTTGCTCAGTCCGTCATTAAATTAAGCGGTTAGTGGCATTTTTGAATTTTTAATCCGAAAAAGAATTTTTTAACATATTTTTTTGACATCCAGAAATCCGAGAAAAAAATTTTGACATTATTTTATTAAGTAAAGAATTGTGGCTATAAGCCGAGCATAGCATCCAGGATTACCGAGGAAGCACAAATGGGGGGAAGGTTTGATGGAATCCGGAAAGAGAGAGCAGCATGGCCAAAGTGAGATAAGGCGTTTCGCCCCATTAAGCCATATACGTCTTAACTCGACACTTCGATATTGCTTAGTGTTTTGTTGCGTTTAGTTTGCATTATTAGATGGCTGCGGGGAAACAGCGTTTTCATTCATTACTTGGATTTTTGTGATAACTGAATGTCATGTTGTACTATTAGCAAATACGATACCTTATTGTAATATAGGAGCACGACATTGTAGATAAAACAGTAATGCTGCCTCGAAAAGTCTAAAACTTTGCTTGTTGCTTTTGCTAGGAGGGTCACTGAGTTGGTAATCCCTTCAGGAGACAAAAATAAATCACTACGAAAAGGCAGTACGGGCCTGAAGGGCCCTGTGAGGAAAAGATGAAGGGGCCGGAATAGCGACCCCGTAACTAAGGGTATTACCCGGATGGGCGCCAAAATTCGTGCCTGAAATGGGAAAGCGGTGCAGCATTTGCCAAAACAAATGGGGAAAGAAGTCAGCTCCGCGTTGTAATAGAAAGTTGAAAGTTTAGGAATGAAATGAGAAGGAAAAAAAGAAAAAATATAACTGATCTAAGTATTCTTCCACGATTTGTGGCTGTTTGAATAGTACTTTGTTGCTGAGAGCCTACTTGCTTTGAAACTTTGACCATCTGCTGTTCGTTGTGTATAATTGTGCTACTTGCACTACTGTCAGATTTTCCATGGTTGTTGTAATAATAGCTAAAAAATCACCTGGTGGGAGACAATTTGCTGATAGTCCTGTCAGTTTGTTCTTCCCGGAGAAAACTACGAGCTGCATCGCTTTCGCTGTTAGCTTAACATTGTCCAAAACTGGCCTGTCGATTTTTGCTTTGAGAGTAACATGCGCATCAGCGAGTTCCTGCTTATGTATATATATATATATATATATCTGATTATCGCATGATTGTAGCATGAAAGTAATATGAAGAAAGTAGAAAAGAATGCAAGAATAGAACGAACTATGTGATGCAAGAGGTAAAAATATTGCTGGTACAGAAAAAATAAGTACGAGAGAGTTAAGACGTTTCGGCCCATGAAACCATATAGGTCTTAGCTCAGCACCGCGACTGGCCCTGGTCAGTATGACGGTCGCAGTGTTCAGAGTTGAGAAGAAAAGGGAATGGAACGCAGGAAGAAAGAAGAAGATAAGATCAGGAAGAATTTTTAAAAAAGATATAAATTTAGGGTATTTGAAAAGAATTAGAAGGTTGTAATGTAGAAGTGGGGAAGTGTCGAGAGGAGGAAGTAGCAATATGAACGGGACGCTAACAACGTATATTTATATATTCATGTGCATATATATATATATATGAGGACGCACCATGCGCTGCAAGCAGAAACTAGATATATAAAAAACATCACATATATATATGTATATATATATATATGTGCGGTGTTTTTCTGCTTATTATGTACTGTATTCCCCTTTCCGACGTCACCAAGAACGCTCAGAATTTACGACACCAAGACCGTTCGAACTTTCGAGCCACGTTGGTGGTACTGCTAGGTTTTTCAGTCCTAAGCTGCGTAGCTCCAGTTAGTATCCACCAAACCTCGATGTTTTTGCGCCACCTTTTGAGAAGCCGCACGAGCGATCACTCATTTTATCGCGGATAACATTCGTTAATGTGCTGTATCCACATGTTATCAGCAAAGCATGTAACATTCGCTGCCCATCGGATTTTACTTTCTTGCGGAATAATTTTCCAAACATTCTTTTGCTACAGTAAAAATTCTTTTCAGAGAAAGATACAAGATATGCAGGAATTGTGAACGACTTACTTGCGGAATGGCTGAAAACAGCGTGCGGGAAGGAGTCTCTTCAGGAAGATGACGATGGGATTGTCTCATTCTGTTGTGTTGCTTCATCGCATCTGCTGCGATTCTTGGAGCCTTTCACGCAGGAACAGGTTTCCAAAGTGTTATTTTTTTGCATGTTTCTTGCATTTGCAAGATTTTCTACCAAATTCAAGCGATCACTGGGTATCGCAACAGCTTAAGATTTTTTGGAATTATTTCCGATGCATAATTTTTGAAAGAGTATGGATATAAAAGAAGTGTTCTCTTACGATGATTTCTTAGAAGCACATTAACACCAGTTATAACTACCTGCTACGTATCAGTGGCATTCTACCATTGAATTATTGAACGTGTCGTAGAAAGACTGGTTTTTTTTTTTTTTTTTGTTTTTTTTAACTGATGAAGTTGAATCTTCGATGTTATAATGGCAAGGAGCTCCAATGTACTGTATACGTCAGCATTTTACAAAATAGATACAAAAAATCATGTCAGAAAGCTAATTTGCTTTTGTTCCTGTTCTTTTTTTTTTTTTTTTTTTCTTGAGGGGCGGGGGAGAGGGGACGAGACAGACGGCGTAAGTCGTATTCCACTAGTTTGCATAGTATAATGCTGCGTTTGTATATTTAAACGTGAACAAAATAATTTGCATCTTAATCCATTTCTCTGCAGGTTAGCTATGATTTGATGCTTCATTCGCTGCAGTACTGTCGCCAGAAGATGGGCCGTGGAGCGGTGGAGATGCAGGAGTTCGTGAAGATGCTAAATGAAGCAGATGAGGACATACTACTGCATAAATATAACTACAGAAAACTGGTCGAAGGAAGGTACCGTAAATTACAGCTAAGCAAGCACCCATTTTTCCCCCAGAATAACTTTACGAATAAAAATAGACTTATTTATTCCATAATAAGTTAAGCTTTTAACTAAACTTTGAATATTGTTGTTTCAAACGGCCGATGAGTATTAATCTTTGAGGGTTTTGGGGCCACGAATGATTGAGAAGGAAATAGGATTGGCCTGGAGCCGGTTATAGTTTGAACGAGGGGATAAGAAAGAAAGCACTGAGAAAAGAGCTGCAAGGGGGTAGGAAGGGGATGTTATTTTGTTAGATGCTTAATTTTCCTGTGGTAAGATCGCTTCGAATGATAAATTTGAGTAATTCAGAAGTGCAGATGTATCTTTGGGAATAGATGAAGTGAAATTTGAACTTAATCATAATGAATTTTTAAAAAGCGGCAGGATTATAAGTGCCTCGAGCGGCAAAAAAATTAGAGGATGAAGCAAGGGAAGGGTGGTGGGCAATGAAAAATATTTATATAAACACAAATTACATCCCTTACTTTTTACATAAACACACATCATCTAAAATTAAAATTACAATATATGTGAATTCTCAATTTTCCGAGATATTTTCTTCTGAGTAACTACAGTGAATTCTTTCGTAATTCAGATGGTCGCCGATTGAACAGGCGAATGCTGTTTTCTACTGGCGATGTTTGCTGGACTTTTGCAAATCAAGGTGTACCACGGAAGCCGAATGGTCCGAGTGTAGCTATCGCTTATTGCCGACGATGCGCAACTTCTGTGAAATTACCAATAGGTATTTCCACTTTTATATATGAAAGAAAAACCGGCTTGCATTAGTGGTGAGCAGTAACAAACTGTCCATCAGGTGGCGCAGGTTTAGTTTAGGAAGATTATCTCTGATGCATTACGATTGAAGTAATTGCTGATTGAAATTTTGGGATTGCGAGAAGCTTTCTTTTTATGCGTTTTGTGCTGTGTAACAGCAGTACAAAACGCATATTGT